CCAACTTAGATGTGTTACTTATGGTCAATACAATATCCATATAACTTGTTTCTTTTCCCTCTTTTTTAAAATGCAGTTTTGCTCGGGTAACACAAGCACATACAATAAATCAGTGCTCCTTAGAACAATCCACATCATTCTGTTGGATAGCATAAGTAACTATTATAAGAGCTGCCCTGAGGTGTGCGTTTGTGTCTGCCATGCATGCACATGGAACAGTGTGCAAATGCATGTCTGCATTGTTGTCTGTGTGCACCCCTAGCACCATGGGTAGTAAGATCTTTCAAAGCCCTCTTCTGAAATTTCACAGTTTTAAAATGCTGAGTGGGTGACCTGCAGACTGAAGGGACGGTCGACAAATGACAGAGAGACAGAGGAGAGAGCGAGGGAGAGGACACCTTGGTGTGTGTGTGTTTGGCCTGACATTCCCTCTGAGTTGGAAAGGAAGAATGGAGAGAGAAGGAGAGGGAGACGGAGGCTGTCTTAAGGACGGCTCTCTTATAACAGGAAGTATCTGAACAGTGACTCACACACACTACCAGGAGAGCGAGAAAGAGAGTAGGGAGGCTCTGTTCTTTGTGTTGTAACTATGTATTGCAATGAATATGTGTGTTGTCATAGCCAGGGGTGTGAGCACATATCTACTTCCATGCTTATGAGCGTCAGTAGTGACAGCGTGTGTGTTTGTCGGGGTGTTTAACATGTATATCTCAGTGTGTGGTGTGTGTCCACACACATGCAGTCATATGGGTGTGGGTATGTATCATGTGTGCATGTAGATCACATTTCAAGAATGCAGCACTACATTTTAGTAGATATGTGTCTGTGTGATGGCTGGGATATCAGTGTGTATGTGTGTGTGCTTCCTATGTCTACAGCCAAGTAGCCCGTGTGTCATGAAGGACACAACTTACTATGTAGTCTTGAGGTGTACGGATCTTGTATCTTGAATGTGCATGCCTGCATAAATATAGGTGTGTTTGGATATTAGCTGATCTTTTTTATGAGTAAGCAATGCAATGCATTTTAGCACCCGTGTGTGTGTATGGATGTGTGTGTGTGCTCCAGTATACATATGTAAATGCTCAGGGAGCTGTGGGGTTGCGTATACAAGCACTGTGCCTGCTGTTACAATTCAAGGACTTGTCACTGATAAGATGTCTGTGTCTTAAGTCACTGGTACATCAGCAGTCAGCAGCAGAGTTCCCTTTCACTGCACACACTCTGAGCAAACATGCCCGACCTCTGCATAACACCCACAGCAGCACCATGGGAGTATTACACATGACTCCAGTATACAATAAACTGGAGCACATTTTAACAACCACATTAGTAGATCTGTATATTGTCTAGAAAAATGTAACATTGGTGGTGACATGTGTGACCGAAAGACACTGATGCACAGTTATATTCAATGTGTAATCAGATTTACAAGAACTGAATCACACCTGTCCACACGTTTCCACACCTTTGTCTTATCACATTTTCCACGCTTTTCTAGATTTTCCAGTCCTACAGGAGATACCGTGTGTTTGTCAGAGCATTTTCTTGGGTGTATAAAAAAAGCACTCCAGTGTGTAGTGAAACATACAGTGAGTAATGTTTTCTTTGTATACATTTTGATAGTTTCAAATTTAGCAAAATCGGGGAAATTCTGCCTGTAAAAGGAACACAAATGTAGAGAATGCTTAAAGGCAGTTTTCTTTGTTTTTCACGATTTGCCATCACAGAATGAGACAATATGCTGGCAGAATAAAGGAATAATCGATCAATGTATGTAGCATTTTTATGAAAAAAGAGGAAGTGGTTTTCCCAGCCTTAACCAGTGAATCGAAATATGTCGAGGTTAATTCACTCATAATTCCTAAAGAATACTGTCATTAGGGTAAGATACGGTCTGACTGCATTTCATAAAGTTATTATTCCCTTAAAAACAATTGTCCGGCTCCTGCAACAGGGTGGATCAAAGGAGGACTCTTCAGCTCTCCCATAATGACACTCGACTGGCAGAGAGTGAAATACATCACAGTCTGTGATAGTATATAGGTGATTTGCACTGATTAAAGCCTCAACATTAGTCTGAATAAGTTGGTAAGATGGACACTGTCGCTGTCCTTGCGCACTCTTGAAGTCTTAAGCAGTATCTACAACTTTTCGCTGATGAGACAATAGCAGATAGTACCATTTAATGCGGGACAAATCATTCGGCCTCGGAAAAGGGGTGTCAGGAAACAGTCGGAACACGCACGGAGGCTCCGAAACAAAATCCTCTTATGACAGCTATTACTGGAGTTAACATTCCCAGTTGAAGCTTATATACTTCATTTGAAAAAGAAACATGCTGGAGATGTGCGAATAATCGCGGAAAGGATCCTGTAAACCCCCCACGGGACAGTAATGAACTCGACCTACTCAATCATGCACTTCAGCATACATTGCAAAGAGCATTCTTTCACCTTTGGGATTGTCTGTGCTTCTTGTGAGCACCCTGGCTTATTCTTCTGGGCTAAACAGGTACGAAGATCTCCGATTTCCAATATATATGCAGAGTGGACTGGAGCACACCGTGTGTTTTGGATGAGCTGTAAGTGGAAGGCGATTGCCTGATCTTGATTTATAAATAGGGTTACATGTAGGGAAGGGTGTAGTGGTTGATTTAAAAAAAAAAAAGTATGACCTCCTGTCGGTGATCATCCCATGGCAACAGAGCCAGTGGTGTGTAACAGTCAGTTATTATTTTCGCTTCTTATAGACACTTTATAACTTGTATTGGCTTGTGATCATAAGCTGATCAGCATTCTTAATACCAGGCTTTTAAAAACTGCCTGAAGTGAGTTATTCAAATAACCAAATGTAGGAATAAAAGCGTGGCTTCTCTCATATTCTCCACCAAACATCCTTGAACTTAAAGAAACTTTCCATCAGCTCAACACACTCATCTCTTCCTTGAGTCAGTTTTTAGACAGCAACATATTCCCCAACAGCAGCATCAAGCGGACAGATCCGTGGCATTTACAGGGCTACGGTGCAGGAAATATCCTGGAGGAGGAAGAATCGCTTCTCTTCTGTTTTTTTTTTATTTATTTATATTATGTTATCTTTTTATTAGGCCCATTTTATTCTCACGGAGACAGACGCAGGGAGGAAGTGGACGATTGGTGCGGTGGGTGCGTGGTGGTGGGGGGTATATTCATATTAGGTGGTCGTGTCCTACATAATAGACATGGCACCACTGCCACCGAGCAAGGCTCCGGTGGCAGCAGCCTGAGTGGTGGCGAGCTTTCTTGTCATCGATATGAGGATGTGAAACCGCTGGGAGCTCTCTGCTGTGTCGCCTTTCTTCTCGTTTCAATCTCTGCGCCACCTCCAGCGCGCACAACTCATCTACATACTCTGTGTGAGTGTGTGAACGCGCGTGTGTGTTCTGCTTTTGTTCGTTTGTTTCTTTTTTCCCCCCTTTCGGGTGTGTGAACATGTGGCGAGGGGGAGCAAGATTTGGGGTTGTTCGGTCGGGAGTTTCATTTGTGTAGGTGTGTGATCTGTGGTCAGTCCATGCAACTTTTCTCTGAATGATGTTGCAGATGTGAGCCTGCTGTTAGGGACACAACAGGACTAAGAGCTGCGGGTGGGGGTGGGGAGCGATCAGGGCAGAACAATCCAAATTAATTACGTTTTCTGGTTTAATTGTTAACTGACGAGTACATACAGGTGACTATACCAACGTGTGTGTGTGTGTGTGTGTGTGTGTGTGTGTGTGCGTGTGTGTGCAAAAGCAAAAAATGCAACTTGATAGCCTGCCCGATCACAGATAGTGCTGCCAGATGGCACCAAACCAACCTGACACGAAACTGATTGCGCATGTATGATGAGGGACTGCTGGTGAGCAGGGGGCAATCGCTTCTTCACTGCTCTGAACACTTTAGTCTAAACACGCATTCGAGTACACAACAGCTAGGACCTCCTTATAGGAAACGATGGAAACAGGAGGTAAAATGAAATGTGAGACATCGATGTGGACTGAGGTTTAGTGACAAGGACAACGCTGCGGGGACAAACTTTTTCTGCCTCTCCTTCTCTCGCCCTCGATCTTGTCCTAGGTGTTTCACACACACCAGGGCTTCTTTCCAGCCATGGTGTGTTCAGGTGTTCCCATAACCTCCGACATTTCCAAACTAGAAAAAACAAAACAAAAATACTCCAAGACAGTAATAAAAATGGAAAGGTAATTGGGCTTTACTTTGAGGGAAATGGAGGTTGTTTATCGCAAGACCATTTGCCTGAGCCTGTCCAGTACAGTTCCTTATAGAGGAGTGAATTCTGGGAAATGGAAAGACCTCATGCAGGTCAACATTAAAGGAGTCATATTTCACAAATGAAATATATAGCTGCTAGTTATGCAAATTCAATATTAGATTTTGATAAAGTAAACAAATAATTCCTTTCATGTAGTTAAATTTAATCTTTATTTGGCTATTTAGTATAGGCTTAATTTAATATTTATTTTTACTCCTAAATCATTAATCATTTAGTCTCTAAAATGTCAGAACAGTCCAAATTGATGTCTGTGAAAAATAAGCAGCATGTCTTCACATTCGAGAAGCTGGAACAAGCAAATGTTTGACATTTCTGGTAGAAATATAACTAATGGATCATAGCAATAGTTGCAGATTGATTTTATTTTGATCACCTAATTGATTAATGAACTAACTCCATTAATAACATACACTATCACTACGTGAAACAAATTTCTTGTCTAATGCTAACACATTTAATATCCCACAGCAGGACATATAGGCCATAAACCTATAAATGATAGGGTATCCCTTATTATAGAGTAGAAAAACCCTTCTCCATGTAAAGTGTATAAAAAGAAATCTGTGGGTAGTGTTGAATGTTCCCACAGTTTACCATTTCACCGAATTTACCACAGAATAGGCTTTACCTATGTTTGCCAGTTCCACATGAAGTTACAATGTTTCTGACAGCACCTGAAGGCAACACCAGTGTGACAAGAAACGAGAGAGAGAGAGATAAACACCGAGGAGAGCGAGGGAGAGAGAGAGAGAGGAACCTGCACTGCTCTTTAGCACAAGGGGACAGGAATTCGCCAGAGATAATTATAATTGTACACCATTTTGACAAAGTTGGGCCGCGGGTCGCTGCTGCCTCATATGCCCCTGGGAACTACAGTGTGCCTCCGCTTTATCTCTGCTGGATCTGGACTCTTCTGCACCGCTCCTTTTCTGTGCGAGTGTCTCAGCTCAGCGGTGTTTTAAATGGTGAGGAAGTGACTCTGTATAATTATTATTGTTATTTAGAGGGTGTAAACGTCGGGGCTGCTGCTGCTACTGCAGCCTATGGCTCTTACACACTCCTAGTCGTTTCCTTTTAGAGTGCAAAGAGAAGAATGATTAAGAAACAGGCAGCAAAAGTAGCTACATGTGCTATAATGGAGATAAGGGTCAGTTTGAGGAATGTTTGACTGATAAGAGACTGGGCTGAAAAAGGCCACAGCAATCCCATGATATAGGACATGTACTTTACAAATAACAGACAGAAATGAGTTCATAAAGGGATTTTATGCCGCATAATAACAGGATAACTAGCGCTATAAAGTCTGGTTCATCAGCAGAAGTCCCTAAGTGAATATTACAGCTGTACCATAAAAGATGATCAACACAGTTAAGGATAAACTACAAACCATTAAATGTACTTATAAATATTAGCGTGTCTGTCATAGGGACAGCCATTATCTAGTAAGGGCAGGCTGGAGTATTATCAGAAGAGATAGTTATGTAAAAGCATAGTTTGCAGTAGAGAGAGGAGAAGAAAGTGTACTTGCATGTGTGTTTGTGCGCATGCTCATGCACTTGTGGTAGAACAGGCTCATGTTTGTAATTTGAGGAAATTACACAAATTATTAAAAAAGGAGTTGTCTTACCTGGGGGGGGGGCTCTTTGGAATAGACATCTACATCTACATAGGGCTGGTTGACTTTGCATTAGTGGAGTTTACACACACACACATGGCAAATTCACAGCACACGCACACACAGACAAACCACTGTATTATTCCTGTTGTCATTTGTGTGTAGTAGAGTGAGTTTTATACATGGGCTCCTTGCTTCTGTTTTGTGCTGTGTACTTGACAGCGTCCCCCCCCATCTACTCTGGTATTTGACTGTCTATGGGTTACTGTACTGTTTTCCTCTGCGCTTGTTGATAGATACTGCATTTTCTATCTATAAGGTCACACAGACATACAATACAGAAAGAGAAAGAGATAGAGAGAGAGAAGTGAGGGAGGGAGGGAGGGAGGGAGGGAGGAAGAGGGGCAGAGTGTTGTTTTGCAGACAGGATTACATTGTCTCCTCCATGTCAGATTTCAGACATGAGGTTAAACATTTCTTCTACAGTCTGCAGCACTCACAACACTCACTCTGTGGTTATATAAGTGAATACAACACCCCACAACACTGCACAACAACAATAAATGATCTAATGTCCCTAAATTGACTGTTAGATAATACATAGCCCCATGTTTGCCAACCCATGAACAGAGCCAGGGACAGATTTGAAGGCAAACACATAAAGCTTTAGGGAAAGTTCAAATAAATGAGTTTAGGCAGATTTTAGATCCTTCTTGTTTTTGACTGTTTAAAGGAAAACTCTACCTGAAGATTTCAGTGTGGGAGTATTTTTCTTAGATGGTTATGTGATTCAAGTGTCTAAACACTGTCATGTTTGAGATCCATTGTTGAGCACTGTAAAGACAGAAGAAAGAGGAACATGACCTATGTTTAAATGTGACTTATTGTGGTTATCAGGTGACTAACACAAATGTGATTCATGTTGATTGAAGCTCTTACTGCATTTGCACAATGACAGAGCCTATACAGAAAAATGGGATTTTTATAGAAAGCCTGTTGCCGCTGCCTCATATTCACAAACTGATCCCACGAGAGGTCACACATGGCTCGAGTGGAGCTTTTTGTATTTTGCTGCCTTCCCATCATTTTCATACACTGAACAAATGCTGCACACATTTGGCTTTTGTCAGTAGGACTGTTTGTCGTTTGTAAGCAGCTTGTGTGCTTATGTTTCTGTTCCTGTGCTTATCATGATCAAACTTTCAACCTGACTGTGACTCTTCCAAAGATGTGATGTTTTAGTCAAGTTCATCTGCCCATTTACCCTCTTTTCTTCCTGTGTCTGTGGGAGTAAAATTAGCAATTTCTTTTTTTTTTGTCTTCTCCCTTCAGAATGTGGAAGTGTTTTATTGGCGTGGTGAGAAACAATGAGGACAAGGCAGGGCTTTGTGGTGGCAGAAATGCATTTTTAACCCATGTGAATGAATGGCGCCTCACATTCCACAGCAGCAGTCTCTTTACTGAATGGCAGCACTAACTCTGCTGTTTTCACTACTCATTGCTGCCTTGTGCCTTTAGACCAGGACATAGTCGTTTACCTTCACCAACTGGGCCTGGCGGATTTCTAGGGCGTGGAGGTGGATGTGGGGCAAAGCTGTTTTTTAGCTCATTTTTTTACTAATTGATGTGACTGATTTTCAGACATTTCTTCTTAACAATTAATACTAATGCTGATATAATCAAAATATAAGTAAATATAAAAAAATGCATTGGCGTTGCATTCATTTGACCAGTAACTCAATTCTGAATGAATGTTTGTATTACTCATATCATATGTAAATGAGACAGTTAGCTACCAAGCAGGGCTAACAGGTTAAGTGTATCAACTTAAAAAAGATAATCTGTCAGTGTTGTTTACACCTTGTTTCTGCTGCCCCCAAGTGGCTAAAAAGTCAGTTAATACAGGTTTAGTAATAATGTGTTTTATAATGATTCAGCCTGCTTTAGCACAAGACGTTTTTGCAACCCATTTATATTTATTCTTGTTATTTGATGCATCTCTCTGTTTGTATCTCCATACTGATCTTAAAAATGGCTGTAGCATTTGTCTAGATCCCTTAGAAGAGACCTTTGTGACAATGTGTTGCCGTTTTGTCAATGTAACATTCACAAATATTAACATTGCGTAATGTGTCTGTGGATGGTTTCCAGCACCATGTTGAATCTGTGTCTGAAGGTGTTCTAGCACGAGCTAGTTGGGCCCTACATGTACAGACTTTTGTCATACTTTTGTCTTCAGTCATTCTTAGAGTGTAATTGCTACCCTGCTTTGATTGTGCTTCTTCTTTTCCATCCAAGCTGCTCATGGCTTTGAACTAGAATGGATATAAAAAAAGTCATCAAGCCACAAGACAGATACGTTTTCCTGCCAAGTTTGTTAGGTTGAAATCTTATGTGCCCTCTTCCTTCTGTTGAATGTTGAATAAAAAAGAAACGGAGTAGCGCATGTTTCTTTGCTGGTGGTCCAGACAGTTGCATCATTTTAATACAGGGTCTGGTTCTGTGGTGATGGCATTGATTCCCTGCTGCCTGGTGGGGGTTTCCACTCTGAAAGGGCAGTCTCTCTGTGTTCGCCTAGAAACACCAAGCTCCTGGATTAAATTATAAATGAGCCTTCCATGGATAATGTATTAATTACTGCCTAGAATAATCGCAAGGAATTTAGATTTCCTGCAAATGTCATCCTATACATCGTCAGCATGCATGTGTCCATTTATTACTGCTTAAACATTATTTGATGGCAGTTTTCTTAACGCTTTGATAACAGGTGGGTGGTTAACCCCTTTATTTGGGTCCCACCCACCCTTGTACCAAGCCAAGTTGGACTGTCCAGGTAGTAAACTGTGAAGCCTGAGATCTGACCAAATTAGACCCATGAAAATGATGTAGTAATCAGAGGATTAAGATAGGAGAGGGGATAGAGTTAGTGGGGGGGATGTGCTGCCAAGGGGATTTAGGCACAGGGCCATTTTAGCCTTCACCCATAATAGCGGGGAGGGGGGAGAGGAATGTGATAGTAGTGTAGAGTGGGGTTCAACTGTTGCGCATGTTAATATTTGTTTCATTAAAGTTGATATTTTTGTGCTGAGATGAGTTCCATTATGACCAAGATTCTCCTTATTCCTCAGAAATGTGCTGATGCTGCGGTGGAAAACCCCTCTTGTACAGGTCTCATCATTAGCCAAACTAACACCAGCTGACTGGGGGTGTGGACACAGCCCACTACACTATAAACCATGTTTTTTTCCCAGTGCATGTTACAAAAGGCTGCATTATAAATATTGTCCTGACAGTTGTACACAACCACTATCGCTCACACTGAAAGCTCAATGCAGAACACTTACTGACAACATAAATTAAAATTTGAAGCTACATTATTACACTAAATTGAGTCCACACTGACTACTGAAGTAAAGGATAGATGTGCTCCTGTGTTATAACTGACACGTGACAGTCACCTCACTTCAGTGCTACCACCCTGTTCAGTCCTGATTAGATTAGTAATGAAAGAAAGTGATTGCAGTTATCAAAATACCATTAGGATTCACTGTTAGCAGTAGTTAATCCAAGTAGTTTACCAAAAACATATTTCTCAGACTGGAATTTTTTCTCAACCATAAATCTTATAGTTAAAAAGACATACCATTTGTTATTTATACTAAAATGTCTGTAGCTATTTCAAATGATTGAATAGGAAAGCACTGCAAGTGTGTGATGACCTTTTTTGTTTGTGCTGACGTCTACTGTCGTCATTGCCATCTCAAGGAAAAGCAGACATTTCTGGCACAGCTTCACCCCCTGCCAAGGTACAGAGACGAGTGAAAAAACAAACTGAAAAGGTAGAGAAGAACTTTAATGCCATCATTATTCATCATCAAAATCATTGCCATCTCACACATGTGGCTGTGAGTCTGCAGTATTTGCTCCTGATAAGAATACCTAGTCAGACTAGTACCAGTTGTATTAATAACTAATAGTTTTAGTAGCTGTGCAGATCTGAGGTGGACCACCCTGAGTGGCTGATTATCTGATTCGAATATAAAATGTTGATGTTTTACAAAAAGCAGAATCTCACTTCAAATTGAAGCCCATTTACTACATTACAAGCTGCCATATCCATCGCCATCATTCATGTTGATTTTCGATCTTACACATTATTGATGATCCAATGAAATAACAATCATGAGCACACAGCGCTGAGCCGAGTGTGCAGGATTCATTAGCAGCACTCATCGGGTTTGAGCTGACATAGTGATCATAGTTAATAGATTTCTGCCTATGTCTATTCTATGAACCCATGCTTGGCATTGTTGCTGTGATTACTGTGGGATTAAAGAAGAGAAATAAGCT